ACCTGTATTCCAAGCCCAGCATTCCCATTGTGTGCTAATTCATACAAGAATTTTGTATTAATTTGTTTCAGCAGCTGTGCCAGTTTAGGTCATCACTGCCCTCCTCCACCAGCTCACTCACCTGTGCCCTGGCCCTGAATATTATCAGCAGAACACTGTATCATGAATTATATATAACCCCCCAACAATAATCCCAACCTAAGCTTATATGACACATTCATGCATGGATGGGAACACTCCCACATACAAGCAGATTTATAACATAGAGTGTATCTAAAATCAATCCTGTACAGGTATAAGGCATCAAGTATCTACATACTGTCATAATAAAGTCCTTAAAATAAATAACTTGAAGAGTCTCAAATCCATCCCTTCTGATGAAAAATACACAGTTAAGGCCTTCTGTGCCCCAATTACGGAAGGCCGGCAACGTGTGACCATTTTTATAAATGTTAAAGTAGCCTTACTGTATTTTAGAATAGGGATCACTGCATTGTTTGCTTGCTAAAGTTGTCTGTTTATCTCCAGGGTCACAGATAAGATACTTCTGCCCAAAGGGCTGCGCTCTATGTTATCAGCTGTTGAGAAGGCCATCACCAAAAGTCAGGCTGTGCTATCCAGCTACCAGAGATTCAACCTTGCTTATATTTAACTGACAGTTATATAGACAAGCAAAAGGGCCTTTCTTCTTTGGACTAATCGATTTTTGTAGCACATTACAATAATTTTTTTCAAGTTTGAAAAATCCTGGCAGCTTTTAAAAGAAGTACATGGCCTCACTCAGCTCATGCAGCCTCATTCCCAAGACAGTGTTGTGTTCCTCCCCATCTTAAACCAATACAAGAGGACCTGTTTTGTCCTCTTAACTTCTCAGATCCATGTTTTTATTGACATTGCTGACCTCTGTCAGTATTTCCAACCAATTTACGGAAGTGATTATGGCAAACACTAAGAAATGCCTACTATGACAGTTATCATTCTCAAGATCCTTGCCGTGTACACACAGGAATCCTAACGAACACACATGACATGCACCACAGTCACCAGAGGACTGAAGGAAACAGGGCTGTTATTGAAGGGGTTTGTCACATGCCTTTTAAGTCACACAGTGGGAACCCAGCAGAACCTTCATCTTCTGCAGCACAAGCAGTTGCTAGCTAATAGTTGCAAATGATTAACACACTACTAAACTAACACCTGACAAAATCTTCTTCATGCAGAGCTGTGCCTTCCAGATTCTTTCAATGCCACCCAAAGACAGCTTCCCTCCTTTACTCACAGAGAACCTCAGAAGACTGAGGATGAAAACAAGTCACACACAACAGAGAACAAAGCAATAAACAGATCACAGAAAACTTAACATCTCAAATACTATCCCACCCTTTATAATCATGTTCAGTCTTGATGCTCAACAGTAACATTGAAGCCTTTAGATAGCTGCTATGTTAAATCTGAACACTGAGAAAAACACATACAAGTTACTTCAACCATATACAACAACTCATACAAGATCATACAGATTCTTAAGAAATGCCACCATAACCACGTGCAGTTATTTCAAGATGTGTTGCAATGAAACAAACTATTGTACAAACTTGCTTTCATAACCTAAATTCTTGCCTTCCTACACACTACAGATATCATTTACCTGGACTCCTGTAAAGCCTTTGACACGGTCCCTCACAACATCCTTCTCTCTAAATTAGAGAGATGGGTTCAATGGGTGGGCTGTTAGGTGGATAAGAAAGTGGTTGGATGGTCACATCCAGGAGGCAGTGACCAATGGCCCCGAGTCCCAACGGACATCAGTGACAAGTGGCATCCCCTCAGAGGTTTGTATTCAAACTAGGGCTTGAATATACAAATATATCACTTTATTAATGATATAGACAAAGGGAGTGAGTAAACTCTCAGCAAGTTTGCAGATGACACTAAGCTGAGTGCTGTGGTTGCCACACCAGAAGGCACAGGATGCCATCCAGAGGGACTTGCAGAACTCAAGAAGTGGGTCCATGAGAATCTCATAAGGTTTAAGCAAGACCAAGTGCAAGGTGCTGCACCTGGGTCAAGGCAAATCCCATTATCAATCCAGGCTGCTGCTGATGGGGGCTGAAAAGATCCAGAGCAGCCCTGATGAGAAGGGCTTGGGACTGCTGGTGGATGAGAGGCTGGACGTCACCTAGCAACGTGAGCTTGCAGCTCAGAAACCAACCATGTCCTGGGCTGCATCCAAAGCAGCATGGCCAGAAGGTGAGGAAGGGGATTCTGCCCCTCTACTCTGCCCTGGTAAGGCCACCACCTGGAATACTGTGTTCAGCTCTGGAGTCCCCAGCACAGGAAGCATGATGACCTGTTGGAGCAATTCCAGAGGGCCCACAGGAAGGTCATCAAGATTAGATGGATGGAGCATCTCTTCTATAGGGAAAAACTGAGAAAACTGGGATTGTTCAGCCTGGAAAAGACAAGGTTTTGAGGTGATCTAATTGCAGAAAGGAACTTAAAGCTGGAAAGGGAGTATTTACCTGGAGTGACAAGACAAGGGAGAATGGCTTCAAAGAGAGAATACGCTTAAGCTCTATATCAGGAAGAAATCCTTTACTATGAGGGTGGTGAGGCACTAGGATAGATTGCCCAGAGAAGCTGTGGACGCCCCATTCCTGGAGGTGTTCAAGGACAGGTTGGATGGGGCTCTGAGCAACCTGACCTAGCACAAGGTGTCCCTGCCCACAGCACAGGCATTGGAAATAGCTGATCTTTAACCTCCCTTCTTACCCAGGCCATTCTATGATTCCAGGATACGCTGGCAGCTTTAACAGTTATACCTACCCAAAACCACATATTTGTCAGAAAATGAGGACACAGCTAATGTTCTGAGGAACAAGGAGTGTGCATTTACCAAGTTCACAGATGTTGCCTTCTCCAGAATGCAAACAAAGATGCAACAACTTCAGCTGAGATCTAGAAATAACGTATAATGCTCACAAGATCTAAAGGTCCAAAACCACACATTTAATTTTACTAATTGCCATTTCATGTCATTCCAGACCATTTAGAATTTTTACTGTCCACACAATTTGCAGTAGAAACCTCAACTAGTGGACAATCCATGTTTCAGCATTTAACTTCAACTGCTCTAACAAACTATACACCAATTTTGCTTATTTAGACAACTCTTCCTGCTTTGGGCCATAAACACCAAGCAAGAGGAAAAACGCCACAAAAAAAGTCCAAGCTGTCATGGGCAGGAGAAAGTTCTTCACATCTCACTGTTTTGCTGAGCCAAACATAAGAAGGAAAAAAGCCTTCCTCCCTCCTTTGATCTACACAGCAACACTTCGACAGTTGGTCCATCAACCCACACCTATTTAGGCACATCCATCTCGGTCAGAGAAGAACACAGGCAATATCTTCAAAAGTAAAGGGAAATGGAATAGAAAAGCCTACCCAAGGCCAAGACAATAATTAGGATCGTTACATTAATTAACGGCACTGTTTTTTATATCATAGAACAGCCAAGAAACCTGTGGCTTATTGACAGTACATCTAGTCCTAATTTTATCCCTGGCAATTCTGACTCTTCTGCAGAAGCCAGTCATTGATGTAAGTCTTGAACCTGTGATAGTCCAGGGAACTACAGAGGCAAAGAGCTCATTGAGGGGTCTGGGTGGTATCTACAAATATAATTTTTATACTGCTTTAGCTTCCTAACTGTTCATGCTAGGTCAGTCAAGCACAAGGTGCAAGAAAGACAGCAGGACTACCTCGCCGACCAGTAGATCACCATTAGAGTGGCTCTCGTCGATATCACCTGGGGAGTCTTTCTGCTGTACCTTCTGCAACCGGACTTGTCTATCTCGCATTGGCCTTTTTAGCCATCAGCGCGCTTGTAGCAAGCGTGGGTAGAGCCCTTCTCAAATCTTCATTCGCGAAGCCTAGCCATGATGATTAGAGCGGCTAAGCTGCTCTACAGAAATCTCACTGTAAAATGGAAACTGAAAGATTTTCACTGTGAAACACAGTACAATACCCTGAAGCACACTGCTTGGGAACATCTCCACTGTTACCTTCCCCTCCCCACTCCTGGCTTTCCGAAATGCACACGCAGCAATGCCACAAAGGGCACAGCACGCAGCAAAGCCCCTGCGCTCAGGAACCTCTCTTTCTCAAATCAATCTATTAATAGATTTTGACTGTAGATGCAGGGAACTGCCTTCACACCTCCCTTCCTCCAAAAAGGGAGGGAGAGAAAGGGGTTCGACACAGCAGGCCAGACAGGGGGCGGGAAGGCCCGACCGAGCCCGCGGCCTTGCTCAGCACTCACCGAGCCGCTTTGGCGCCCACGGCAGCTCCCCCCTTCCCCCATCAAACCTGCCCACACATCCCGACCCCTCAGGAACTCGGCTATCGCCGCCGTTCCCGGCCCGAACGTGCCCCCTTACAGACCCCCGCGGGCTCAGGCCCCGCCACAACCCGCGGTTCCAGCGCCAATCGCTCCCTCCACGCGTCCGAGCGGCACCGCAGTGACCCGGCACCCCCGCACCCCCCGGCGGGAGCCGACAGCCGGTTCACCGCCGCCGCCTGCAGTGCGGTGCGGGGGCGGCTCCGCGGGGAGCCCCGGCCCGGCCGCTCGCACACAGACAGGCCCTCCTTCCTTCCTTCCCCCCCTGCCCGGGGGCCCGCGGCGCGGCACCTCCCGCCCGCCTCCCCTGCGCCGCGGGCAGAGCGCGCCCTGGGGCCGCCGCGGGACCGCCCAGCCCGGGGCACCCGCACGCCCGCCCTCCCTCCCCATCGCGGCGGGCTCGGGCAGGAGGCCGCGGCGGGCCGCCCGCCTGCCCGCGGGGACAGCGGTGGGTACCGCGGGCACGCCCAGCCCCGCGGGCGCGCCGGGAGAAGGCCCGCGGGGGAAGGCGGCGCCCGCGCGGGGCCGGCGGGGCGGGAGGAGACCCCGCCATGGGGGGAAGGGTCGCGCCCCCCTCCCCGCCTTCCTGCGCCGCCGTTACCTGTGGCGCCGAGCAGGAAGTCCAGGGTGCTGTGCCGCGCTGCTGCTGCCATAGTGAGGTAGAGCCCTGTGCCATGCCTGGAGCGGCGGCGGCGGCGCGGCCCGAGCGGCGGAGCGGCCCTATATGCGCGCGGGGCTGCGGCGGCGCCGCGGGGCGGGAGCGGCGGAGGGGCGGGGCCGGCGGGGCGGGGCGGGCGCGGAGCGGCGCGGCGCGGCGGGAGGGGAGCGGCGGATCGGCGACCCCCGGGGTGGGCCGCGGCTGGGCGTCTGAAAAATGCCCTGCGGGGGCTCTCGGGATGCTGGTCACGCTGCCCGGTGAAGTCCCGCAGCGGTGTTCTGGCGCTGAGGCCGCGGACCGGTGCCGGCGGCGGCAGCGATGGTGGCCGCGGGCCGGGGGCTGCGGCATCTCACCTGCTGCCCGCGGTGGGCACGGGGAGGGCCCCCGCGGGCCTTCCCTGCAGAGGGACCACCACCAGGGCCTCTGTAAGGCCTTTTATTTAAAGTAATTTTTTCTTCTGTAACGGGTAAGTGTAAAACGGCGTGCTGAAGGTAAAGATCACACTAACCACGTGCAGCCACAAACCCAGAAGCAGTTAACTACAGAACTGGTCACAGAATCGCAAAATCACAGAATCAGTTAGGTTGAAAAAGACCTCTGAGATCACCCGAGTCCAACCTATGACCAAACACACCACCATGTCAACCAGACTAAGACGCTGAGTGCCACGTGCAGTCCTTGCATAGTGCAAACACCTCCAGGGACAGTGACTTTACCACCTCCCTGGGCAGCCCATTCCAGTGTCAAGTCACCCTTTCTGTAAAGAAATTCCTCCTGATGTCCAACCTAAACCTCCCCTCGTGCAGCTTAAGACTGTCCTCTCATCCTGTCACTGGTTACCTGGAAAAAGACACAGACCCCCACCTGTCTACAACCTCCTTTCAAGGGAGTTGAAGAGAGTGATAAGGTCACCCTTGAGCCTCCTCTCCAGGAAAAACAACCACAGCTCCCTCAGCTGCTCCTTACAGGATTTGTGCTCCAGACTCTTCATCAGCTCTGTTGCCCTTCTTTGAACCTGCTTCAGCACCTCAGTGTCCTTCCTGAATTGAGGGACCCAGAATAGGACACAGTACTCGAGATGTGGCCTCACCAGTGCCGAGTACAGGGGAAGATGTTTGACTGTCGAATCCTATGAGCTTTGCCAGCTCTTAGTTCCTTTAATTTTATTGCAGGATTGAGAGCGAGTTTGCACAATGCCATGGCATCAGTGCTTTCACATGATTCCACAATTAAGAGATTTACAAGTAATTGTTATTGTGTAATCCAATGTGCTACCATAATTATTTCTATTAACTTGCAATAAGAATTTTTTTTTTTTTCGGGGCAGACTTACATTATCCTTGTTTTGAACACCTATAGTTCCACACAGGCACTCTGAGGAATGCAAAAATGTTCTGTGGAGATATGCATCAGAGGAAGCACAGACATCTGCAGTTCTGTAGTAACTACACTTTCATCAGCTGGTGTTCATTTGAGGCATCTCATGCATGAGAGGCTCTTTTTTATGATTAATTAGCTAAAATATATGGCTTTGCAGATTCCCATTCAACATCTTTGATCCAATCCTGGATGTTACAGGGGATTACATAGTTCTCTTTGGGTGGCTTTTGTACCCTTGTTGCCATTCCATCAGGAATTCTTATGTTTCTTAGTGCCATGACTTTTTTTTCTTTAACCAAAATCAGTGGTTTTCTGCTGCTGTCTTTGATCTCTCTACCATTCTTTTTTCCAAACATGCAGCTGCCACAAGACAGCCAGGAAACTCCCTACACTTTAAAATCTCTTACGTCTCTCACCTTTGCTTGTGGCGGCTGCAGTGGTTTCAGTTACTTCATTCCATAAAGGAACTTTTTGGATTGATTTTTGCTCTCTTCAATGGGAGCAACGCCTTGTGTTCAGTTCAACCTATTACATTATCTTTCCATTATGGAATAATTGGAAGAAGGTAATAGTGATGTTGTCACCTAAGTACCTTCAAATTTGTTCATACGTGCCAGGTGCCTCGCTAAATTATGCCCTTACACACACACGAACAGCTTTGCTGGGTTCACAGGAAAAACATCAATATGTCATGCAAATCTTTTCCTGGCATTAATTTTGCAGCTTAAGGCCGACCATTCCAGACTGGCACTTGAAGAGAGGTAGAGCATCATCATTTTAATTAAATTTGCTGATGAAAAAAGAACAGTGGTCTTACTGTTTCCTTTTTTAAATGGATGAGAATTTTATGGATTAGTAGTGAATTCAAGTGAAGAGCTGAAAAGACTAATAAATTATTTCAGAAAAAAATACAAAGTCTTTCTTTGACTTAAACTTTGACTTAAAGATTGGTTATAAGCCATAAATGGCTTTTGCAGCTGTTCGTTAGGTTAGGTGGAAGTGGGAAAGCTGGCAAAACAGCATGAACAAATTCAATAAAGAGTGGAAAAGAAGAAGTTCATCTTAGAAACGTTGGTAGAGCTATAGGAAAACATTCAACAAGAGGAAGAAACAATATCAACATGTAGGAGTGGAAGCAGAAAGTGAATTACATATGGTTTTACAGAAAAGCATAATAATTGTTATTGTTATTCTGCCCACAGAATTTAAGCTTCCATGTGAAGGATCCCATCGCTGAGGAAGAAACTAATAGACTTTCTCTTCCACTTCTTTGGCATAACTCCTCTGTGCATGATACTTAACTAGGTCATGCCTGGGATATTTTTGGGAATCTTCCTGTTAGAAAATTACACTGAAGGAAATTTTAAAAAGAGCAATTAAAATAATTAAGGAGATGAAGGGATTGATTTATGAGACAAGATCAAAAGATCAAGAATATTAAAACATGTTTCACAAATACTGTGGTGTTTGGATGACCTCATGTTGTTAAGATTAGCACAGACTACATGGAAAGAGTTTATTCAGTGTAAGATTGCATGCATGTCTTGAAGCCAGTGCAGACTGCAAAAGGGGGTTCAAAGGGAAAAAAAGATTGAGGCATCGATCCTTGCTGGGTTGTGGAAAGCTTTGTGCTGAAAATCGAGGGCAGAGACCCTACCCTCTGGAATTAGATCGGACAGATTAGATAAAAGACACTGGCTGATGGGAACAGTCTTGCACTGCAAAATATTTGGGACAAAGGCCTTGCACAGTATGCAATAGATGTATGTTTTAGTCTGCATAACCTCTTTTCTTTGTACAGGACCATGGCAGGCTGAAATACCAAGTGTTTCGAGTCTCAGGATTTTTTTAAGCAGAATGTAATAGCATTTTTAACCACAAGCTCCCAGTTCATCTGCTCTGACTATATCCGCTTTTGTTCATTGGTCTGAAAATATTTCATTTACAACTGCCACAATCCAGAGTTCACCTTGGGAACTAAAGTTAGAATCAACTTCTTCTCATAGACAGCTAAGAAATATCCTTTAAAAAAAATGATTTTTTTTTCCTCGTGTTTTATGACCTGTTCAGAAATTCATTCACTTCAGGTCCTTCTGAGTCCAGCGTAGGGTGCACTAGGGTCACTTAAGAATAGTAGACTTTTTTTCCTGAATGGCTAAAAAAGTTTCTAAAGTAATGACACATTTAAGACAGGAGTTCACAAAGGTTGTGTCAGCCCTTGTTTAGGAATAATTAAATGTCTCATGGCTCTATCACTTGTGAATAACGTGGCCATCTCATAATGCTAATTGAAACCTTGAAATCAAACATAACTATTTAAAATATACCTGTACAGGTTCTCTCCCCATACCTGGTTCTGTATATTTAAAGTATTGTAAACCTTGATGCATTACAATTAAAAAAGCAGAATAACGTGCAAACATGCAACCCCATGCTGAAGTGCCTGCTAGAAGATAGTATCAAAATGTGAAAAGCAGGGGCTGCAAACAAAAAAGGGTTAGAGTTTGATGCAAACCCCTGATTATGCTTTCATCATCTTCACTGATTATGAATCTTACTGGGTCAGTTTTTTCCCTAGGAATTTTAATTTTTTAAACACAACTCTAGTCCTTTAGTATTTGTTTAGAATTGATATAAGTCATGGTAACTTTTGAGGAGTAGGAGAGGGAAGATAGTACTTCATTTTAGAAAAGTAGTATGCACAGGATAGAGTCTTGTAAGTTAATGGTTGTTTTAGAAATTATGTGAGGTAACAACGTGGTACCACAATTATGAGCAACCGTGAAATTCATCACTTTGGAAAACAGCCTTATCTCATTATATAAGACAAATTCATGTTTTCTAGAGGTGAACATCTGTTTAATACAGATAAGTAGAACTGAGTATTCTAATGAATTTACATCTATAATTCTTATTTCTGCTTTTGTGCCTGAGCATGTTACTGTTTACTAAAACAAATACAATTTATTTCCCTCTTCTTGGATGCTTGCAATCTAATATATAGGCTTGCTGGGGCATAGCTCTGGAGGTTAAAATAAAAAAAAGATAGCAAACTGTCTATTTCAAATTAAATTTAGGCAGTGTGGAGCCTACATCTTACTGGAAATCATTAAAATCTCTAACTTTTAAAACAAGCATATTGAGTTGAACATGGAAACATATTCAGGTAGATTACAAGATGAGTAAAGACCTCTTTTTTTTTTTTTTTTTTTTTTTTTTTTTTTTTTTTTTTTTTTCCCCTAAGTTCTGCAAAGAAAGACTCTGGAGAGTCAAATTATATCATAGGATGTAAGACTTCTCACAGAACAAGAGAACAATTTCAGGAAGTTTTAGCAAACTCAGATAAGAGTTAATTACTTAAATAAGTGCTACCATAAATTATAGCAGCTATTATACTCTCTGCTTTTTGAGAGCCCTCTGCTGTATTTCAGCCAGAGTGCTGCTTTTGAACCCTTAGGATTTCCTTTGGTGCAAATAGACTCCAGTCTGTTTCTTTTGGTCAGAGGTTATTTACCACAGAGGTGAGACCTCAAGTCCAGTCATCCCTGGTTATCCTGCATACCTTCAGGGACACCTTACTTCTTGTGTTAGTACACTCACTAATCAGGTTTCAGTCTTGACAGAAACTAACAAATTATTTTGCTAACATGGAGAAGGAAACCACTGACAGACCATTCCTTATGTTTTCCTCCCCACCAGCACTCTCTAAGC